ATTTATTTATTTTATTTACGAATTTTAAGTTTGGATGTTAATCCTCAAAGTTGAATGTTATTTTGTTTTGTACACAATTTATAATACACAAATGTAAGACTGAATAGGAATTAAGACTGAATAGAAATAAAACCAAAAACTAAATATAACCAATGCCTGTTTATTAACCAAAAATGTTTATTCATAAAAAAACAATTTAAAATACTTTGTATAAGTTTGTTAATTAATCTTATTTATAATTTTTATTATTAATAACCAAATATCAATTATTGATCAATTGACGAGCTTCATTTCTAATGTATTCATTATTCTCGTTCTTTTAGCATTTCCCATTTCAATGTTATTGCCGCAAATACGTGCTTGTAATTCATCATAATGTTGTAACAACAAAGAGATTGCAATTACTGGAATTACTGGTTTGTTGACGTTTTGCATGGCGTCCATTTTCAAATCGTATTAACGCGCAGAGAGCGTAAGCAACCGTTCCGAATAACTAAAGCGCTTCATGCGCATTGACAAAACGGAACGATGTTGAAGCGCTGCGCAATAATAATGCAGTCTATGCGTTTCACCAATGAACATCGAACATAAAATTGCCATATTGATTTACATAAGATGCTCATTGGTCCAGACGGTCTTATGCTATGCATATGCAGCTATGCCGATTTGTGTGTGATAGGCTTAAAGCCAATTTGTGTGTGATAAGCCTTAAGCCCGTATCAGACTACGCATTGAAAATTGAAGATTGAAGATTAAAGATTGGAATTTGACTAATCAGAACAAAAGGAACTAAAATTTCTTTGTCCTGATTGGTCAAATTTCAATCTTCAATCTTCAATGCGTAGTCTGATACGGGCATAAGGATATAGGTCACAGATCGCGTTATCGCATATATATAGTTGCTCTTATCAGTCTGCCACATGTGTATATATACGTTGCATCTCATGAGTTGTATTCTAATTTTTTTCTCGGTCTCCTTTAACTTATCCTTACCTTTTCTGCGTTTTCGGAATAAAAATGTTACGGGTGATAAAACCCGTGATAGATATGTGTAAGGTGAAAGCTCCGAAGAGCATCGTCGTAGATTGTGACGCCGGTTTAGACGACGCTTTAGCTTTGATTATTCTCTTGGCAGGTCACGTCAATAATAAAATCAAAGTTAAAGCCGTGACTTGCGTTAACGGGAACACCAATGTAAACAATGTGGTGAAAAATGTATTCAGAACGCTGAATGTATGTGGTTGCCAGGAAGTAAGTTATGCAAATTTATATCTATCATCTACTTGACACAAGAGTTGTATCGCTTGATTTATCGATGGAAATCTTTACCATACATTTTAATTTTTTTTGCTGTACGTTTTTAAATCATTCGTAATTTTAGATCAATTAGTTAAAAACAAACATAAAATTTCTACAAAAAATATGTTTTCTGAGATATGTTTACATTAATATTAAAGATATCAACTATATGGAGGATTGAAAAATTTATATTTAAGATTATTTATTTATAGATACCAGTTTATCGAGGTGCATACTCGCCTTTACTGAATACTCCAAATGCCAAGGAGACAGCATCCGAGGGATATCATGGATCCGATGGATTTGGAGATGTGTACACTGATGAGCCAGAGATGGATAGACTGCAGAAGGAACATGCCGTGTGCGCTCTGCACAGAATTATATCAGAGGATCCTGGTAATATGTCTTTTCGTCATAGTTACACATATATGTTAATATGCAATATTAACTCAATGCGTTTTATTTATCAATTCCATGTTTTAATCAAGGTAACGTCTCTGTGGTCTGTTTGGGTCCCTTGACAAATGTAGCAATGGCTATAAAAATGTATCCTGATTTTGTGAATAATGTAAAGGAGTTTTTTGTGATGGGAGGAAATTCAACTGGTAACTTTAATAATTATTCGCGTTATTGAGTCTAATGGAACAAGCATTCTTCTAAATTCCGTTTAAAAAATGTTTCAAGGGCAGGGTAATATAACTTCGCAGGCAGAATTTAATTTCTATGCAGATCCAGCATATCTAAAATATTTCCATATTTAAATGTCATCTTTTTTGTGGATTTACAGAGATTAAATATGATAGTGTGATAGAGTGATTATACGAAAAGGCGGAACGGAAATCGGAGAGAAAAGGACATCTAGTTGGGAGAAGACTAGAAGATTTATTTTCAAGATTACATTCTCAAACAAATAATGGATTTAATGGCTTTTGTGCCCTATTCTATGACAGCACCAACTGTCCAGGTATGTAACCATCACTTAGGATATATCAAGAAGACAAAATTACTTCCTGTTTTTATACTTATTTAATAATATTTAATTGTATGGGCACATAATTTGGTAGAAAGTTCATTAAATATAGAAAAGTGTGTATGTGTATTTTTATTTTACGATACATATAAAATATTTGAAAAAGCGTGTAAATTTTTAAAATATATTTTTAGAACATGTTAGACATTGTGTTATTTAAAAATCCATTATATAATAATAAAATTATAATAATTACAATAAAATTGTTTATATTTTTGTATGAATTGGGGTGAATAATTTAATATAGTACAAAATAATTCCTCCCAATATTGCAATAGTTTGCAACTGTATGAAACGACGAATTTAAACAAAGGCAGTAATATCTCTCAGTAAGCTTTAAAGCGTTCTAAATTGGAATACACACATATTATTATTTTTATAATAATATGTAGACTGTTTAGAATAAAGATAATAACAAAGCGAGCGATAATATCTACAGCATGAGCCCCGCGTGGAACATGTTTGCGAGATATCCCCGAAGGAAGATCCATTGACGAGAACGATATCCGGGAGCTCCGCTTGGTCCAGGATACGTCGTTGGTTTCTCGGAACACGGATAACGTCGCCACTGCACCCGTTCACGCGATGGTGCCTGAAGAGTACTCGGGCGATTGATTACGAGATCAGTCATCATCTCAAGTCCCATCCTTACATGATCCATCCCTTCAGTTCCTTCAGGTCAGTCACAAACTCGTTTCTGCACGAAAAATCGAAAACTCAATCAAGAAATTGAATTAAGAATCTATTTTATCTTGAAGTAAAATTCAATTGAATAAAGTTTCTTATACGTAGAATATTTTGGGAGTCTATCATGACGCTGTTCATCATAGTTGTTCTGCTCATCACACCGGTTTTCCTCACATTTTATTTTGACGAATGCGCGAAATGGTATATGTACAATCACGCGATCGACGCCATGCTCATGTGCGACATAATAATCAGGTTTTTCACCGGTCACTACGATTCTCGTACGCAACTGGTGATTCTGGATCCGAGGGTTGTAGCGAGGTACACGAAAATGGCGTACTAGTCTTGAACCTACAATAAAAAAACTTACTTTTCTCGAATCGTCCTGATTCAATATTTAAAGAAAAGAACGGAGGTTATACGATTACATGCAACACATTTTTTTTTAAATTATCAAAAAAATTATATTTATAAATTCTCTTTACCTGGAACCTTTGAACAAAAATATCTGGAATATTAGAGAATTCTCCAGGAATGTTATACTGAGTAGACACTTTGAAAAAAATATGAATTTAAATATTTGGAAAAATGAGGGATTTTCTATTTTTTTTTTCAACATTACGTGACGCTATCATCGTAGCAAGTATCTACGAGGTTTCTTCATCGTGGACGCGTTATCCGTACTACCGTTGGAATTTATCGTCGTGCTTACCGACTCGATGTGGTACCTGACCTCGTTGAATTTGCTGAAAATATTGAGGATACGAACCGTCATCGTTTACTCACGCAAACTCTATCACGTCAGGATGATATATCATCATCGCGATTCGGCGGAATCGATTCTACTCACACAGATAATTAAAATTCCAGGTATACCGAATTAATTTTCACCTGTACAAAATAGCGAAGATAGGCATCATCATCGTCGTGGGCGTGCATTGGGCCGCCTGTATAGAGTATTATCTACCATTGGTGGTTGACAAGATAGCCGGACAGAAAGATCCGTTAAGTAATCGATACATAATTACGTTTCACTTTAGTTAAATACAACACATGCACATACAAAAATACACACGCACATGCACACATACATAATACTTTTTTTATTTATAAAATATACAATATCTTATTTACGCTTTATAAAATAAAGATGAATAAATTAATTTATTATCATGTAGGAAAACAAGAACAGAAAGAAGAAAAGTTGAGCAAATAATTTTTTCACTTTTCATATGAAATGTTAAACTCCGCACTGCGTTATTATGTATACTTTAATTGTGGAAAAGGATTTTTTGATATCTATAATCAACAAAAGGATTTTGCAAAATGAAGTTTTTATCGGTAAAACAGACTCTTTGGGATCCCCTTAAAGAATTATTTAACTTGATGCACGTGTTATGATCTTTCTGAAGTGCAAATTAATTCCATTACCCGCAGCCGTGAAGGTTCATCGTGGATCCAGAAAACTCTCGTTTTCTTTGGTTTGCCACATCTCGTAATCGCGCAGAAGCAATGCCAAAACAACTTTAGCGTGTAATTGACCCACTTTCATTCCTGTGAATCAATAAAAGATCGATTTTAATGATAAAACGGTTATAAAATTATAATCCGAACGATAATTTTTGTGTCTTATCAGATAGAAGATATCAAATCAAAATTCAACTGAGTGTTTCTTATTTAATTTTCTCTCTAAACAATCGTATAAAAAATAAAAAAAGAACTTTTGAAAGAAATAACATGTCATTATACTAAAATAATTATAAAACATTTGTTACGTCCTGGCGATTCCACGATTACTTCCTTCCGCGAAGTGTCGGCAACGATCGTCGATTGATGAGACAAACGAACCGCTCATTAAACAGACCAACGTAAAAGATCGATGATAAAAACATGCCGGTCTCCTCAAGGTAATATAAAATTTTCTAACGAAATACCCAACAAACACAGCTGCATCTATAATAATAAAATTTTCCAACAAATATTCAATAAACACAGCTGCACCAATAGCAATAAAATTATCATAGAAGAATAGGATCTTTTTTCTAATCTGAACACGTGCAAGAAATCTTCGAACGAATATCGAACTCACCAATGGACGATCACTACGAGTAAAACG